AAGGTCAAAATGTTAACCAATAGATTCCAGATCCAGTAGGTGGCAGTAAAGCAAGTCAAAGGATGTAGAGCTGCCATTTGAATCAAAATAAGAGACAAAGTCAAGATGGTGATTGAGTTGATACAAGATTAGCTTAGCTGATGTCGGATGTTGCATGCTAGCTTAGCTGATGTTGGACGTGTTGGAAGCTAAGAGGAAAGGACAAATTAAGTCGATTTAAATGTTTTTTTCCAGTGTTGGTAGACAACTTTGACCTCAGTGTACATGTTAAGGTTACAGTGTTGTGTTTTATGTTATGTTTTTTGTAACAGAGAGTACTGCATCAAGAGTAGTTAAGAGTATTCAGTTTGTAAAAGTTAGCTCCGCAGATTTACATGGTAAATAGTCAGTCTGATGAACCAATCTGAACCTTCTGACCACATTATTGTATTGAGTCAACCACTAACAGACTACTTTCGTATCAAAACTGCTCTCATTGGTGTTATTAGGATTCTATCAATTAACTATTTTATATCAGTATATTTATTTATCGTTTTCATTTTAACCGTGATTTAACCGGAGTTGTAGATAAACTCACAATGTCCAGATTCATATTTGTACTAAAGAGAAATACGTTCATCTAATATCTGATGCCCTCTGCTGGCACGATTGGTGAACCGCACACTAACTCAACATTGATAGAAGACGGGTATTTTTCAATGAAAATGTACTTTGATTTTAAGCTCAACCTTAGTCCACAAAAAATATGTTTACATTCTATGGTGTGAAGTTCCTAATTAACTCGTTAGTGAAAACAGAGTGAAAGGCAAAAATATGTCAAAGGACGAGGTGAATAAACTGCACACAGGTTACAGAATGTAACGGCTTTATTGAGACTTAAAACTCCATTCACTACAGTTTGACTCAGCCTTTACCTCACAATCATGGAGCCAAAAAATATGATAAAATAAAAAGAAAGAAAGAAAGCAGTTACAACTAAAATAGTATATACAAATACTTAAAATATACATGCAACAAACTTTAGAAATGCATATATACTGGCTAATCAATAATGCTATGCTAAAAGGACAAAATTAACTCTTTAATAATGATCTGGACCTGAAGAATGATTTTTAAAAAAAGGATTTTTCAGTCAGAAATCAAACTAGTGAATATGATTTTGTAAATACTTTCCATTTCTTCTGGAGTGTACTTCCCATATGTACTTTTTCTACACCTAATACATTTAAAAATATAAATTACTCCAAAAAAATAGATAAACCAGTGATGGGCTTAACACGATCTAAGGTCTGAGAGCAAAAAAAACCAAACAAACAAACTAGCAGTTAAAGAGGTTTCGTCTAAACTTGTCCAGTTCCCAGACTGGTTGGATTCTACTGAGGACCATAACAAACAGCAACACAACATTGGTTCTACCTTCACATTTGACCTGGTATTCCCCATTTCCACCAGTGTGATTGCCATCTTCATTGAAGATGCTCCAGCAGGCACTGGTTTCAGAACACATTCAGACAGGTTATGGTGAACTGTAGTATTTAAACAGGCTCGACTGTACTGGCCTGAGTCAATGTTGTGAGTGGTTGAATTAAAAGGTAAAAGCAGAATGGCCACCAAAGGAAGGTGGTTTTGGTTTTGGTGTTGGTGTTGGTCTACATCTGACACACTTTTATAAGATTGTGCAAACAATCACATAAAAGATGAGTTCCACAGAGAAGTCCCCCAAACACTCATTGGTTGAATCAATAGATCATATGTGAAAACAAAAGGAAGCCGTGGATGTGGACCAGAAGTTCTCTTCTTGTTTATAATTTGGAATTTTCTATGATTCTATTTGAAGGAAAATAAACAATAAACTACAATGAAAGACAGTTCATATTTTACCACTGCATACTAACATGACCAGGGGAGACCTTATGTCAATCACACACCGAGTGTCTACTCACTTGAAGAGACACGTCTCCTCTACTTCCACGGCTTCACTTTTGCACCCGGGTGACTGTGTCTATTTTTTAAAAAATCAGAAAAGGTCTCACGGTCAAGGGAGTGCTAAAAAAAAAAAAAAAAAAAAAAGAGTGGTTGCGCCAAAAGGAAATAATTTGCATTGAGATATAACTGAGAGGTGATCTTTACACCCAGCTAATGTTGCTTAAGAAACGCACTTAAATGGAATCAAGGACAAAAACAAGGTCATTCCTATCAATGTTCAACTTCTGAAACAGCCAGAACATGGCTCCTTTAAAACAAGGTACAGTGGTGAGTGTGTGTGTGTGTGCGCCAACTAACTGCTCCATTAACGTCAGAGTTCAGTTGAAACATAACATTTTACAGACACCTATATATCCTTTAGTGTCCTCCCACCTGCCTTGAGTGTTGCTCACTGCAGGTGATGTGGTCAGCACACGGCACTGCAGTGGACAGGTGGCTAACTGTTTCCTGGGGGCTGGGGAGGCACGGACCCCCATCATCCCTTCAGTCTGCTGTAATGTTTAAGTGTTCAGTGGCGGCTGCTGAACATTAAATTTGTGTCCATTCCTAAACTGTCCATATGTAGCTGCAGCTCCGGGGCTGAATGTACGTCAGGAGGACGCCAAGAGGAGCCGCATGGACCGTGACTGGCCGTGAAGTTTAAAAAACTCCTCCAGACCACTGATGGTGAAACCAGAAATGCAGTCTATCAAAGAAAGAAGGGGTAAACTTGAAATTATTGCTTTTACCTCAAGGTTTTTTTTTTATGTCTGTGAATGAAACAAAGATCAAACGAAGCAGTGAGAGTCAAATAACGTTGGCTTATTTTAAGCAAGGTTTTTTTTTTAAGTTAAAGTAGTTTTGAGCTTCAGTGTTACACATCAGTGGGTGTCACACTGCTGTTTTCTGAAGGGTCTCTGTATGGTTCTCCATGAAGTGATGGGTCAGACGGTCAGACGGTTGTTGGAAGGCTGTAGTGGGCTCCAGGACGCTGTATGAGCGGTAGTCTCTTGCGAGTACTGGCTATCGTCTTTGCACATCCCAGCTGTACAGAGACGTCGGTGCCTCAGCAGTCTGTCTGTCCGTGAAAAGTTCTGGGGAGGAAAAAAAAAGGTGTGAATTTGTGAAATTACATCCAACATGCAATTAAACAACGCAGTAACAGACAAGAGGCGAGAGCTGGGACGACGGACGTGAACGTAGAGCTGACTAATGTTCAAATGGAGCAGAGATTCTGACAGACCGGCGGTGGTTTAGGGAGCGTCACTGCGCCAGATTAATGGTGTGAACAATCAACCATCTGCCTCTCAGACTATCAGAAGGATTTATGGTGTGTCGCAAGTTCGGTTTAGTCCAATTCCCCTTGTGACTGCTGTGATAAAGTCCATTTGAGCTTGATTTGATATGATCCACTTTAAACACACAGCGCTTCAGTCTGGAGGCTCCGTAATGAAAAAGAACATGAACTATACATCACAGAGTAGGCAGACATTTGTGTGTTCTCCTGCAATCTGCAGCTTCACTGTATACTCTGGTCCCCACTGTGGTATTTAAAGTCAATTGTACTAAGAGAACATTTAAAAAAAAAATCCATTCCAAACAAATTCCCAAACAAAAATCACATTACGGTGATCGTCTGACTAAAACTGTACTTGTAAACACACATATACAAATTGGCAAAAGTGCAGTCTGTTAACTACAGTGTTAAATGTACTGACTGCGACTGTGAAATTATCTGGACCACGACTCACCTGATGACATCGGTCACACTGGTACGGCTTCTCTCCGCTGTGCACCCGCTTGTGTCTGTCCAGGTGGTAGCGTTGGATAAACCTCATATCACACGCATCACAAGCAAACGGTTTTTCCCCTGTGGAAAAACACAGGCAAATGTTCATTAGTATTTATCAACACTTGAGACTATTGCAGGAAATTGCGACTCTGATTGGCTGAATTAAAGCTTTTGTAGCCTGTTACTGGAGGAAACGGTCTTGGCGGACAGCTGCGAGTCGTGAGGTCTCACCTGTATGTGTGAGTATGTGTCTCTTGAGGTGGTAACTGCTCCTGAAGGCCCCGTAGCAGTGGTCACAGATGAAGTTCTTCTGAACTTTTAAGAAACTGTCATCGTCTGTGACTTGGGGAACGAAACGCTAAAAAAAACCCAAACAAACAAAAAAAGAAGATGTGAAGCACCATGTAAGAGCCAACGTAACAAAACTGACCAATCTGAGTGAATCTACATACAGTGAAGTGCTTCTCAAAGTAAACAGGAAAAACAACCTTTACCTCAGGTTCCTCTTTAACTTTGTTGGATGACTTTTTGTGCTTTTTCTTGGGCTGCATGTTCTGGTTTGCCTGCATGTCTTTGTCATCCAACAGTTTTGATGTGTGGTAATCGCCATCTTTTCGGATTAGCTTTAGGAGTTGGCAAAGGAAAAATATTAAACGGTAATCTAAAGCCTGTCACTGTATGAGAACCAATCACATGCAATATAGTCATATAGTATTTAGGTCAGGGGTCACCAACGTAGGGGCACCTCTTGAAGTAGCTCTCAGTTTTAAAAAGGTTAGTGACCCCTGATTTAAGTAATACAAGTATTTGAAGGTGATAGTTCTGTGGTAGCACAAACACCAGATGGAAACAGTTGTGCCAACTGTTGTTAGCTAAAAGTTAATAACCTAAGACAGGCAGGAAATGACTAACCAGTACAACAACAAATTTGCCAAATAACTGTAACGACATTTTAATCTTTAGTTGCTATGAAAAATTCTACATAGAAACGTTGCAAACACACTGCTGTGCCCGAAACCTCTCTCACCAGTGGGGGGCAGCTGCCGGCTGAAGGATGGCCCATGTGGCTGTGGTGAGGTTGTCCATGGTGAAGCTGGTGTCCGTGGTGGTTGTGACCGTGTTGTGAGTGCATTTGCTGGCTCTCAGCGCTGGCCCGGTGCCCGTGGCCCATGGATGACATCATTTTCTTCTGGCCTGGGATGTTGTTGGCCTGCATCAGGGCCATGCTGGACAGCACTGCCTCACAGCCCAGCAACCCAGCCTGGCAACATAAACAAACATCATGTCACAGCAGAAACAGCAGAAAGAGGAAGATTGTCGGACAGAGGCCAGTAGTCACTCAGGGGCAGGGCGCCGTTGGAGAAACGGGACTAACAGACAGACGAGGCTACCGTACGGCCACACTTTGACCGTGGTGGACATGGAAACATCAACTGACCCATTTCATATGGTCTCGGACAGAGTTGTTGGAATGTTGTGTCATCGTCGCTGTTTGAATGCGTGTGTGTTTGGGGGGAAGTGGGAGCTTCACTCAGGATGAGGTGACAGAAGAGACCACACCCACCCAAATCATCAGGGACCAAAGTCTGAAAGTAGAGGCATGACAAATTAAGGCTAATAGTTTACCAGGCTGGAATCAGGATCTCTCTAGACAACCAGAGGGATTTCACAGGTACTTTTGTACATATTGACCAGATAATTTAGATCCAGCATTTACTTTTTTGGTTCATTTGGACCCCCCTAGTGATTGGGCTCACATTACCTTAAATAACTGTAAGGGCCATGGTGTTGGTCCTAGACTGTACGATACATTTGTTTAAAACACTGTAAAAAATTTAAGCCATGATTTTTAAGCAGGTTTTGCTATATGGTATTTGCCACCATATGTTTCCCTTTATCCTTGGACAAAAACAAAACGGTGAGATGAGGGACATGCAGCCACAACATGCAAATTCATTACTAGATGCGATACAATTACATAAAACTCACCGGGAATTTATATAACTTTACTTTAAACGAACTATTTCATGACTGACCAACAATCTCTTGTACAACTATACTTCTGTTTAACAATAATACTACATTGCCGTTCGCTTAAAAATACAAATACTTAGCACACATGAATTGCAGATGAAAAGGCTCAGGATAGAACATGAAACAGATGAATAAAAAACATAACAACAATGGGACTAAATTAAATTATAGTAAATGAAGAGTTTACAGACTGTAACGCTAAATGCTAATAGCATCTTGTAGTGTGGCTAAACGACAAATGTTCAGGCTGATTTAAGTATTAGTTGTTATTAGTATTTATCCATTTAGCCCAACATTGAGCAGCTGGTAACGAATGAAATGTTGTTGTAGACGTGTCCGTAGATTTACTATGTTATTAGTCTGCGTTTGCACCTGCAGCTCACTGTATAATCGCACATCTTCTTGATTTATACAAGTATGCAGCGACCGGCGGAAAAGGCTAACCAGCTAGCTATTCAATCGGCCCAGTAGTTGTTTGGAGACAACTCCAGTGTGATCGAACCCCCAACCCCCCGCCACAGACAACACAACAACAGCCAGGCAGGGCGTGCGGCGCCGACCACACAACAACAGCTACGTCTCACAACCTCCGGAAGACTGCAGACACATTAGGAACAGTTACGAATACTTACAAAGAGCCGTCAGTAAACTGCGTATGAACCTCAAACATTTACCTGTTAAAATGTAGGAGTTTTGTAGATAATTCTTTCTTGTCGCACTTCCAATTTTTTTCGTCAGTTTACAAACACTGACAGGAAGCAGCGTCGGAAGTGGCTGCGCTGAAAGAGTTCAGATTGGCTGCGGTCCAGATCACGTGAACGGCATTGTTGACCTACATTTGCCGCCATGATTGTGAGGGCGGGGCGGACCGGGAGTTTTCTTCTTCTTCCTCTGTTCTTTCTTCTCTTACCCGCCTCCTCGACCTTCTTCTTTTTCTGAGATTTTCTTCTAACTTAGCTCAATACCGCCACCCTCTGTGTCGAAAGTGACTCACAGCCACCCACTGAAACAAGTTAGATTGTTTTTAACTGTAAACTAACATTTGTGTATTTTTATTGATTGTGTATAGGGTGCACATCAATTTCGCTTTTAAATCTGTTTATTTTAACCGCGTATTACTGTTTAGAGTCCTGAAGGGAGCTAGAGCCTATTCCACAAAGACTATATAATGACATTTATGGACATCAATGACCTTAACGTCACAGTTTGACTGACCTGATGTCACTCTTACTTTAAATAATGTCTCCTGATTATGCAGGGAAAATCAAAGATGTGAATTCGTTTTTTTGGCCTGACCAAGAGAAAAAAATGCATTGTTAACTAAAATCCACCAAGTTTTAATTTATTCATATCAAGTCTACCATCATGTTACAATGTTACAAGTGTAAAATTGTAAACAAATCACAATCAAATCAAAAATCCCTAATAATTATTTCTATTTTAAAAAAGATCTTTTACATGTTATTATTAAACGATACAGCCAGTATGTGAGATGTCTTCATTGAGAACATTGACAGTGGTCGGTGATTCACGACTTGAGTCACAAATCTTTTCCAAGTCTCTCTATTTCATCCAGAAACCAGTCCATGTCTTTCTGACAAACGAGGGGAGAGAGAACGACCACTCGGAAAAAGTTGACCCTGTTTCCCAGAGGTTGGTAACCGAGCATCATCGTACCCTGTTTCATCATGCGTTCTTTGATAGTGGGAGCCACCTTTGAGATAAAAACACACAGTCAAGTGGAAGGTTCTTGGCGTTGGATACGTCAGAAACCCAACTTACCTGAGCCAGTTTTTTCTGGTAATCTGTATTTCCTTCCTTCCCTCTCAGACTCGGTGGTATATACCAGAAACACACATTCACAAACTCCGGCTTTTCATGGAGGAAAATTCACACAAGTGAAACAAAAATTGATTTGAAAAAAAAAAGAGAATAAATATTGTGTCTGGAAAATGTTGAGTGAACCACATACCTCACGCAGAAGTGTGAAACCGTCTCTTTTCTTCATCTGTTCCACCAGATATCTAAAGAACAACATGATGTTCTGTCAAACACACACATCAGCGGCACATGCACCTCATCTGGGCTGAAGGACTTTTACTGTTTTACCATTGACAAAATGCAGAGTCTAAGTGATTACGCGACACCTAGTGGTGAAGTTGCATAATGTGGGTAAAATGTATAATATTATGCGAGCGTGAAATTTAAATTGTTCTAGCATTTAGTTAGGGTTAGGGTTATGATTTTTTTTATGATTTATTCATTTATCTTTTAGCCCAATTATATGTAGGGACAGTTCAGCAGTTGGCCGGTGAAAAACTTCTGTATTTTAATGTAAAACATAATGGCTTTTGAAGAGAAGCAGCACGGAGTCTCTCGTGGAGTTCACCTCGTGATTTCCAAACCTTTTCTGTGGCGCCACCTTTTGGTAAAAAGTCCACAGATCCAAATCTACTGTTCTAGTTGAACACAGTAAATTTACAAATCAGATTAAAAAAAATATTGAAATTAAATTAAATGTTCCCTGATACCACCCCTACTGCCCCCGCCCCTGTGGTAGTTGTATCTTGTATCTATCAGGAAAAGCTGGGTATAATGAGATAATTATTTTTGTTTCCTGACTTTGGCGACTTTAATAGATGTAAGTAAAAACCTTTGGTATATGTCAATAATAAAACACTAACACAACCCATAAAAAAATGAGTTAAGTACTTTATGGGTTTTTTTGCGAGATATATTTTTTCATCTTGAGATAACACAGCTGCAGTTTACCTCACATGGAGAAATGCCTTGTCAACACGTCGTTCCAAGCCCTCAGAGCCCACAGCTTTCCACATCAACCACAGCTTCAGACAGTCCACCTTGCGGCTGCACTGGACAGATTTGTCCCCCACGTCCAGATTGATGTCGTAGAATTTGTCCTGCTGGAAGAGGTAGGTGGCGCTGGCGCTGTGGCACTGCTTTAACAGGTTCTGAGAAAAACCAGATAAAAGACTATAATGTGTTGTTTTTGTTTCCAAAAAGAATGCATCCGGATTGTGTTAGAAAGAAGACGAACCGATGTGTCTTTTAACAACAAGACGGAGCACTGCAGGCCAGCAGAGAGCATCTTGTGGGGATTCCAGGCCACGGAATCGGCCCTGGTCACGCAAAGACAAAAAAACACACACACCTTGTACTAAACCACATTCATCTTTGTCCAGTAACCATGTAAACACACAGTTATACCTGTCAACACCTTTCATCAGATGTCTGTGCTGCTTGGAGAAGAGCACACTGCCCCCCCAGGCTGCCTGTGACACATGACCAGACAAACAAACAACCACAGCATGTTCATGAATTCCAATTAAAACATGACGTTCACACACACACACACACACACACACACACACACACACATACACCATGTCAATGTACAGGGATTTTTCTTTCTCTCTCAGGACTCACATCGATGTGCATCCAAATCTTGTGTTTCTCACAGATGTCAGCGATCTGGTCCAGTGGGTCGAAGGCCCCCTGGACTGTGGTCCCTGATGTGCAGCTAACAAGGAACGGTACCGCACCCTAAAAAGGAACACGCTGGGTGAGTACATCTATGTTTGTTGGTCTGTATATGTCATGGTCATTCTGTGGCAATATTTAAACAAGTGATTTTAAACCTTGGGGTTGTGACCCCATGTGGGGGCCTATAATACAAATGTTGTTTTTTTTTCTATTTCAGAAAAAAAATTTAATCTGGGGCCAGAAATGTGTGATGTGAAAATGGTGTCAAATGGGGTAAAAAAAAGAAAAGCTGGGAGCCAAAGATTTGAACTCTTATCTTATTCTCTTCTTATGTTTTTCATGTACACTGTATCTGGTTTATCTTCTGCCCTCTGATTCTATATCATGGTATTGTATGTTTGTTCCCGTTAACTTATCTCAATCTTTTTGATCAGTTTTATTGGTTTACTGCGAGGCACCTTTGCCATCTTTTGGGTTGTGGAGTTGTAAAAAAAAAAAAAAAAAGAGACATTTCCTGAACAGAATCCCACCTGTGACTTTGTCAACATTATCTTTTCATTCAGATCACTTGGAACCATTCTCCCTCTGGAAGGACAGACAAGAAGAGTTCAGAAATATCAGTGAACTGATGGATGTACTGACTGTGGATTAGTAATCTGATGTGTGGTTCATTCTACCTGTGCTTTAAAAATAAAATCTGATCAATTTCAGAAACTAGTTAATAAGATTCACATGTTAATTTTGACAGCATTAATATAATAGACTTGTGTTAATGAGCAATACGTTACCCTTCATCCACCTTCACCAGGACAACGTTGTCAGTCCCAATCCCTAAAAATGCAGCCCCTTTCTTCACAGAGTAATGGCTCTGTGAGAAAATATGACAATATATATACAGCATATAAAAACATATTTAGGATTCTTCCTTTAACCCCAACTTCAACTGTCTCCTGACCTCTGGAGATGTGAAGACCGCCAGTCGTGGCAGACCAAACAGTCCCCGGGTTTTGACGTCCGGAAAGTGTCGATGTCGTGCCAGGTTCATGGCGTACATGTTAGAGGACGACCCGCCGGGGCAGAACAGACCGTCGCCCTCCGTCCAGCCGACCAGCCGACGCATGGCCCTGAGAACCTCGCTCTCCATCAGGATGAAGACGGGGGCCACCTCATAGGTGAACCTGCAGTAACAGAACCACAGGTTGGAGTTTTTACACCGCAACATATTTACACCAGATTTTTTTTTTTTTTACTAATAAATCCTAATACATTTTCTACTATTACTGCTTTTCATTATTTGACAGCTTTTCCAACTTCCAACTGATGAACTGACTTTTCATATTTATATTTATCCCACTCAAAAGTCATTCACTGTAAGAATGTTGGTCGTCCGTCTTTGTCTTTTTCTGCTTTTATTACCATTTAATTCACATTAAAAAGTTATAATGTCGTAGTTAAAAGCATTAGCTAACATGAGCTCACGTCTTTGTAGTTCCACTGATCTGTTGATGTTGTGGTTTTTAATCTGTGTGATTATGTGCCTGTTTTAAAACCTGTGACTTCTTACAGATTAGTGTTGAGAGCCTCGCTGAGAAATCGTCCAGACAGGGAGTGATAGTCAACGCCGGCAAACTGCTGGTTAAAAAAATGTGGGTGGCCTTGGGAAAAAAACAGAAATGGAACAGAAAGAAAAAAAACATTTATTATTGTAGATGATATTTATAAATGTACAAAAATGTGTGACTGTTGTCATCAGCCTCACATGTCTTGACGCTGTACTTGGCCACGTCCTTCACCCTCTGTAGAAGCCTCTCCTCTGGCTCCCCCGTCGACCTCAGCTCCAGATCCAGCAGCAGAGCCAACTCCTCCGGTGCCTTCCACTCGCAAACCTACGGCAGAACAAGAGGCTCGTGAGTTCCGTCCGGCATCAACACTGTAGTCTGACAGATGAACTGGACCTGCACCGGTACCTTCTCCTTGACGTCCGTTCCCTTTTGCAGAACCTCCTCCACTATGATTTTAACAGTTTCATTGAGGAAGCGTTGGCCCTCTGAGTGGTCGATGAGAGATTCACTCAGGTCTGCAGAAAATATTAACATTGTTAATCGTCCAAACCACTGTAATCCAGAGATATCAGTATAAATCACCTTTAAACACTTTGTCTGTTGCAGGTATAAACAGAGAAACAGAGAAGACTCAACTCACCTGAGAGTGGAACCCTGTCTGAATCCATGTCCTCAGTTCTACAAAGGTGATCTCCCTTCCTCAGTCCACACCGGTTAAGCAAACCTCCGTCTGTGGACACAACAAAGAAAAGGCAAGGTTTTATAGGCATGAGAGAATCAACCTTTGACCCAGATGAAGTTCATAACTGTAACCTGACACCAGGCTGGAGCATGGCAGGAGACAGAGAGATGGTGAAGTGATCTGTTGGAAGAGTTTCTGGGATCACAGTGTTGCAAATATCCAATGTTTTGTGGAGGTTTTATTGATATTGATGGACACAATTCTTATCAAACTTCATGAAAAATGGAGGGAGGACCAATGAGAGTCAGCTATCCTCCTGATGTCACTCTGTAAGACAGATTTTAAAATGATTAAAAACCAATATGGACTATTTTTTTGTGTCACATTTCTATAAAAAAAAAAATTCTATTAAAAAAAAAAGTATTGTGGACCTAGTTATATATTTTGTATTTTGTTGTCAGTGAATTAATTTGTCTTTTTTATGATCCTGGCTTTAGGATTTTTATATATTAGCATTTTAATCAACCCTGATTATTGCGCATTCACAGAGACAATATAAAGAGAAAATATAAATATGGCTTAAAATGTATTACATGGATAAAAAAATATATACAAACACTTTTTACAATACAATCACATGATCACATTGGTTGTTCCCATTTCATTCTAGGTAAGAAAAAAATACCTAGATACCATTTAAAACACAGTTTTGATACATTATCATGTAGGATAACATGTCATGGTTATAGTTTCAACTAAATGTCTCTTTTTTTTCAGTTATTCTGCAGCAGGAAATCAATTTCCTCAGGGGGCAGCGCCCAGTCTGCTCGACTGAGCAGGACGTGCAGCTGAGCCGCCGTGGCCTTTTCTCTCTGGCAGGTTCGCCAGAGACGCAACATGGCGAACACACGCTCCACATGTTGAGTATTGTCCTCTTCAATCTGCTCCAGCTTCACAGAGGGGATGTCCAGAGCCAGTCGTCCAATCTCCCGCCAGGACTTTCCGATGGCTTTGGCGACCTTCATCATCTGCTTCTCTGTCACTAAGCCGCAGACTGTAGAGAAGGAGACGGGAGAGTCAGGAGAGTCAGGAGAGGCAAGTCACAGACTCTAAGTACTTTAATGATAAAATAGTGACTTTGTCATGATTTTGGTTCACAATGTCTGTCAACTAAGTAGATGTTTATACTCAAAATCCTTCAAATGTGTCTCAAAAACCAGAATTTTTCTGGACAGACACCAGGTGAGCCGGACTTTCAAACAAAATTAAATAAAATAACATTTATACCTAACATCATTATGTGATGTTCATTTTAAAACTCAGGCCTGGGCCTGATGGGATGGGCCGAATTCAGCCTGCGGGCCGTCAGTTGATGATCAAAAAAACTTAGCTGTGAATTACATGCACATTGTATTGCATTGTACATGCAATACTTAGCATGTGACTAACACTTCATTTAGACATCGAGGAAAAATTCATTTGCAGAGACATAGGATAACATGTTCACTTTAAAGGGAAACGTCTACTGTGATAATGATGTCACTCACCGCCATGGCAGATCTTTTTGGCAACGATGGTGTCTTGCAATTCTGGCTCTTCTTTTTTGTTTCTTTTTTTTGTTCTTGTTTTTTCTTGTGTAAACAGAGTCAATATTAATTAAACAAAAACTCCATAAGGCTTTAGAGGTTTGTTTACTACCACTATTCTTTCTGTACTCTCTCTGAACCACTGTTTTATCAACTTCAGAAGAACAGAAGTATTTGTACAGATACTGATATATATTGAGTCACTACTACTTTTCTATGGGACTGGGGTGAGATATCCTGATAAAATAAAGAACCTGGACAGCCGGTGCCAGGAAAAAGAGAGAAATGGATGGAGGACAAATCTTGCACTAACAACACCGTTAGAATTGAAGATGATTCAGTGGAGTTAGCCTCCAGGGTCACCAGACTAAAATGGTGTAAATGGTGCCATTTTTCTTTGATGCACACATCAAGTGTGCCTCATGAGGTCAATATATCAGAGCATCAGCCATACAAAGCCAACTGACGTGACATCTATAATTTAATTTTTAAATTTTTTTTTCTTATGATCTACCAACATTATGGGCACCGCTCATGTAGATGAAAATTCAAAATGAGAAATCAAATACTGAATACCTGAGGACAGTGTTGTGACTTGCAGATCCTTAACAAACTCCAGCAGAGGGAAGGTTTCCTGTAGTGACTGCTCCTTCAGTAGTTGCAGGAAACCCTGCGCTGCTTCAGGGCTTCTCTGGATGACGTGATCCAGAAGCTCAGTCACCTTCTCACTCGGAATACGACATGCTTTCACCTGCTGGTAGCCATGAGAGGAGAGCAGACAACGAGAGTCTGCATGCTGCAGCACAAAGTCGGCATCAGCGCTCAGGATATCTATAAGCTGGGCCTTGTGCTTTCTGAGAAGCTGCACTTCTGACGCTGGTTCATCTGCCATGGTTGTTCGTGACAACAATTAGCTCCTGAAAAAACAAAAAAAACCAATCAGATTTTATTACATGCAGATAATGTAATGTGTCTCTGCTGGCTAACACAGACATGTCTGCAATCAAGGTTTTTATATCATGTTTACAGCAAAAATACTACATTAAATATAAGTATGTATTATGTACCACAGTACATCTCTGTCGACAAATAAAAATATGTATGGAAAACAATTTTAGAGAAGGAAACGTTTGAGAAGTTGTTTAAGATGCGAGGTTGAACTTAATGACATCCACTGACATGCTAAGGAGTTGCTTGGGAAATTTCCACTCCACCCATCTCTGTCATTCTAGGAATCAGTGTTCAAAGTACGAACCATCTGTTCCCTGAATCCAGCTCCTAGTAGTTCTTCTTAGTTCTACATAAAATACTGCACGGTTTCCCCTCTACCTTCCTCACGCGGTACTTCCATCTTAGAACAGATACGAGTATATTACCGTTTCAATCACAGCACAGTTGTTAAGCTGTAAAGTTAGTTGTTAAGTAAACATTGACGTCTGAGACGTAAGAAGCGCATACTTTGATTTACTTTCGTCGCGCCTGTGTTTACTTCCTTGTACTCTCATTGAAGAGGTTTGTTACCTGCTAGCTGTGTATTCCTATTTAGTGGCTGGATGCTGCTACTGCATCACTTAACTGGTAATCTGGAGCTTTGCTGCCATCTTGCGGAAATAATTACACATTGCGATTTTAGTACTGAATCGATTTTGTTTATGGAAATTGGATTATAAACCACACAGTGGGAACAATAAAGCAATGATGTCTAGCATTATTAGAATACTTTTACGAAAAAGTTAACTAATGATTGACGTTAACTAATTACTGGTAATACTCACCAAAATCTCTCCTTGTCGAAGCAGCGACTCGATTTAATGTCGCCACGAGACAGAATATGTTTGATGATAAATTGCTTTAACTATAACACTCTGCCAACCTTAAACATGGGCCTTAGTTATAGTTGTGGATATTCTCGAACGTTCCTAATGGTGTCTCTGTTCAGATTTCCCTCTTGTTCTTAGGAGGATGTACTCCAGGCGTAGATCCTCCTATTTTCCGGTTCTCCACCAATCAATGTCGTTCTGGCTCAAATAAACATTTTAATTGGTTAGCACTACATGACACATTCACTGAACCCCGGAAAAAGTACCAAACAATTTAAGTGTCACGTAAAACAATAACATAACCGAATAATTTCATCTGGCATTCATGTTTGTTTTAAACTATTGCAATCGCATATAATATACATATATTGTATATCCTACAATGACCAAACATGGCTAAAGCCAAGTGTACTTCGATAACATCAGTACTGCCTGAGGAAATACAAAAACGTCTTATAGCACAAAAAAAAAAAAAACAGGTATAATGATATTACAACTGTAAACGTGATGAAAATAATACAATACAAAGAAAGCAAATAAGCCGTTTTAATTATTAATACAAACGTAAAACAACATTAAATTAATGAATATGGAATACCTGTTCAGCGGATTACATATAATTTCAACAATATGTACAGTTTTTATATTTAACATAAACGCGTAACCTAAATTAGTCTTTAAGTTAAACTTCAACATTATGAATACCCATCGTGGATAATATTCATAATGTTGTTTTGTTTTTTTGCCTAACAAATTTTAGGAACAAAAGATACATATCTGTCAGTGTGGCGATTGATTCAGGTTGTCAGTGGTTTTTTTGTTTTGTTTTGATCACATGATGAAGACCTCGCTTCCCTGATGAAGTGAGGCCTGTGTCCTCCCCTTTAAGAGTGCGGTGCATAATGGGAGATAAGGTGTTGCTGTTTTACAGGTGAGCAAGCACAAAAAGTGAAGAAAAGTTATAGAACCAGAGAACTGCGGTTGGACGTTTTTTTGACGTTTTAAAGTGATAAAAAGGTTCGGTTCTGAAAGGTGCAACACCTTCTCTTTGTTCAGACGACTGGAGCGGAGTGCGTCAAAACAGTTACCAGCGCAGGGGAGCTTTAATGGAGTCTCGAAGTTTCCTCTGACCTATGAGCTGAAAGGTACCGGTAAGACATCACTAGTTTTACTCCACGTCATTGGGAGTAAAATTATTGCCCCCCTTTTGTAATTCAGGCATTTCAACGTAGTTTGGTTAACATGGTTTACTGTTTAAGTTAAAGCTAATAAAAGTTTGTTACCTTGAAAATAAAGTTTGGTCAGGGCCTATTCTAAGTATTTTTAAAAATGAAAACTTCCACAGATTGAAGAGAACAGACGTCACTATATTTACATAATATAATGTTTCTACGGTCCAGATTTATAACCATTAATGAAGTGCAAATGTGACATGGACACTTTATATTTGTTTAGGTTGTACACAACTAAGAGTGACCACTAGATGGAAGTACTGTACCATCTATCTATCAACAATATAGAGGCGTGGTGTGACATTTCTGTTTCTGCTCTCATTGCAGAAGAAATACAAAACTGTAATGATCTTTGTTTCTATTGTACAGTTGCTAATTTATATGATGAGATTTGTATTATAGCTTAGCATCAAAAAGTTTTGTTTTCTCCAACATGAGTGATTTATGTTCCGGTATATGTAGTCAAACACCACGTTCCATAAGGCTATGATTGGTTCGTGTACTTCACATATGAAGTGATGTGAATTATATGGGTTTTACAATGCAGCTGTGTTTGTATTATCACAAAGACATTCTTGGTAAATTCTGCTGGATGGCCATCATCAACAGCCAGTGGTCACTTGTCTGCTCAGTCTGTTTACTCAGTTTCAGCTCTAGGAAATGACAAATCAATATTTTATTCCTGGGCAGATGTTTTGTTTTCAGTGGGAGGAAAAGCCTCTTGAGCGTGTTCCATCCACACACAGTCACTGTGTACATTAGAGGTTTGAAAAAAAAAAAAAAAACACCTCGGTTTACCGTCTTACTCTGTTGTTATCCCTATATTCTTTCCACTTTGTTGTTTGATACCATGATGTTGCGTTCAATAAAATAATAACTATTTCACTCAGCTGTTGATGTATATATATCTCAGAGACTCCAGCCTAATAATGGTAGAGGAAATAAGTTTGATTTAGTAATATCGGAAACATTGGATTAAGAGTGATACTGTGACAGGATTATTGCCAATCATCTGGGTTTGAGTCCAGTGCACCTAGTTCACATTCCCTGCTTAGGGTTGCATCAGGAAAGGTCTCTGGTGTGAAAAATTACTACGTGGGACAAGTTGAAAGTGATTCCTAAATACAGAAAAATAAGGCGATGGTATAAGAATTGCTTCATATTGACTACCGACCTACAGGGGTGTAAGAAAATGTTGATACACTGAATGTGATGTTTTGTTTCAGGATACTGTATTGATATTCTACAATTTTAGATAGTCGACAGTACAATTAACATGCAAATATGCATAGTGTTGGTTAATTTTATTTTGCTATAATTTCTTTAGTGATTACAAATGTTGATTCTTCTGTTTCAGTTTTAGTAACCCAATGTCAAGCATGCAACAGCGTTTTATGTTTACTGTGTTGACAGGTTTCGCAATATATCGTTGCCCTGTATTGCTAAACGTATCATGTTGCAGATTGTTGCCAGTACACAGCCTTAATGACTTGACTGGTAGAAAGTACGTGGATTAGAATTAATTTCAAATTCCAAGTTAAAATTCAAACTTGATTTGGTGTTTAAAGAGTGATTTTGACATGTGTGGCCTCTGTAATGATTTATCACCAACACATCCACTCTTCATAGCCTCCCTGTCTGTGGGTTTATACGTTAAAAAGATTTTTCACCAACAGGCTCTTGTTGTAAAGGAGCAACATTGATTTTTTTTTTCCCGTTGGATGCACAGCTTGTGTCTGAGGCGGACGGCAGTAATTCAACTGAGCCCCTGCTGCTCACGGAGCCCCACGGGACTTGACCCTCCCAACTCGGGTTGGACACAGTAGCGGTGAGTGGACGGCCATTCGTCGCAGTGGCTCTGACATGTCTGTTTGTTTAACATGCATTATATATGAAAGACTAGAGTGAGTGGGAGCCTGGCTGCAAAACACAGAGGGGTTGGTGGTGACAGAGATACTACGAAGAGGTTGAGCGTAAAGAACTGCTGTTCCACTGTTCTCAGCTGAGGGAACACGTTACTGAAGGTGGGAGGCTGGTGTTTCTGTTATGACAGGAATTAAGTATTAGGTGGAAAAGTCATTTCTGTCTGAGAATGTAGATCAGGGGTCACCACCTATATTTGTTGGAGACCCGGAATTCATTTTTTCAGACACCTTAGGGGTTGGACAGCTGACTCTGGGTATGACTGGTACCAGGGAGAAACAAAAAACAAACAAACAAACAAACAACAAAACAAAAAACAAAACAAAACAAAACAAACCCAACCTGATTTATGAGAAGCAAACATCCTGAATGAGGCAGAGTTGCTCAGGGAGACAAGTGTCAGAATAGAAGTATGAGAGGCATGAGGCATGATGGACTCAAGATATTACTTTAAATCAGTTGAGATCCTCAATATCTTCATGGCTTTTGTGTACCTTAGTACTCGTACTGCATATACTACTGAAATAATAAAAACCTTTGTTGTTTGTTTAATGAAGGTCAGTGTTGTCTCCGATCAAATGTTCACCGTTTGTGGGGAACATGTAGGTTCAGTCTTTAATGTAATTGACAACTGCTGAGAGCTGGGTTAATAATTGATGCGTGTGTGTTTGTGTGTGTGTACAGGTCAGTGCACCTGACTGTGTTTGTTTGTGTGTGTACAGGTCAGTGCACCTGACTAAAGTGGCTACTGAAAAGTGGCAAACGTATCAACATTTTCCTTTACGTCTAACAAAGGGGAGAGACAGTCAGTCTGACTGAGGACAAATGTATTTACACTGTGTCATGGCTGGAGGCTGAGCAGAAGACAAACAGACTGAGTTTGATATTATTGCTTATGTGTGTATGTGTATGTTTCCTTCTCAGGAGTTGAAAAGGTGAGGAGGTCGTTTCACGGAAATAATTTTTCTTTTTGTATGAGATCATCATAGCTCATGTTACTGGAACCCAGGAGCGGTGCGTGTCAGCTGATGTCAGCGTTCCATTACGACCGTAATCAGATGAACTCATCACTCAATGTACTGTCGAGACCCTGTTCACAGGACTCATCAAGACCAGGGAAATCTATATCCCAGAAACTCGGGATTGAAGTGAATCAAGATGGGATCAGGGGGAATTGGTTCGAGTTTCATTTCGCCACTAGAGGGAGCTCTTATCGTTCGAAAGCATCTGCATAGTTGTAGTACTTTTTGTCTGTCTCATGGCTCAGGTCTAACTCTAACTTAAGAGTGGTTCTTTTTCTATACATCACGTGATCATATACTGGAAGATGGGTTTCTTCAGTTCTCAACAGAAAAAAAAAAACAGCAGAAGGTCTGTCCGACTCGTTTGTGGGTTGGTTCTGCATTATTCTAAAGTCTGTATGTAATTGTTGCTGTGACTCTGGGCTTTGTTCCACCCTCGTTGGCACTGAGTCACAGCATCAAGTAACATCTGCTCATTATTCATAGTTTAATAGCAACATAATGACAGCAGGGGATTAGTCCTAAATAGGGTGAATACGTTCAGTTCTGTCGGAGATCATGTCAAAATCCCATTAATGGTGGGAAATCAGCCAATCAGGACAGAGTTTGTCATCCTTCTGGTTACTATTGTGCCTGCAATACCTTTAGATACGCTGACACGAATTGAAATAGTAGGAGACAGACTGTGACGTGTGCGTTTGTGCGTGTACGTGTGAATGTGTCCCTGTCTACAGATTCGAGAACGTACGTGTGACAGTGTGATCCACAGTGTGTGTGTCAGGCGTCACTCTCTCCTTCCGCATCTTCACTATGTATTGGTGTGAATGCTGTATGTCTATCTATACCGTGTGTGTGTGTATATGTGTGTAGAATTAGTGGTCGTCTGAATTTGAATTTGAAAAAGTGTTGCATCACAGTCCACATCACCTGTGGGGAAAAGTTTCCGATTTCCTCATCTTAGATAGATTTAGTTCCAGACCCCTGTTGTAACTCGTTGTCACATTATATTTTTAGAATTGACTAGTAATATATATTTTTGAAAGATAGAAAAGCTCATGACAACAGCAGTTAATTTCGACACATATTGAACAGCTTGCTAATTGTATTTTATACATGTCTTTAAGCCCCGTGACCAACATCAACCAAATTTAAAAAACTTTTGGTTCCAGATTATGCAAATTATTAGTAATTTTCTTTTATCAGTTAATAGACTTTTATATTTATATATATATTTGAATTCCAGGTGACCCGATGTGGGGTCTCGACACCTAGGTTGAAAATCGCTGTTTTATGGTGTCAATGTAATAATGTTGAAGCTTATTGTCTTATCAACTATTCTGGAGACTCGTGTATCAAAGGCAAAAACAATTCCCGGTCCAGTGTAAATTCTACATTTTGAAGAGAATACTACAGTATGAGCATGGGATTCACAAAATAGTTGACTGTGCAGTTGTTGTTGCACCAGATTCAAGAGGCATTTGTTTTGTTTGTCCTACGCTCCAGTGTTGTATTGATAGATAATGTTGAACAGGAACTCCTACATAATAATGAAAGTGGAAGAAAACACAGTAATTCATGGAGTCGGCTTCCTCTCTGTATCTACCAGTTCTTCCTCACACTGCAGCTTCATGCAGGTCAGGTAGAGCAGACTGCAGTCATGCTGGGTGTTTGTCTGTGTCTTCTTACTTAGGTCAGTGCTTCACATCAGTTCAGAGAGATCCCCTGCTTCCTATCATATCAAGTCTGCTTTTTGAAACAACAGTCAGGTACTTTCATCTACAAAACATATAAACACACACACACACACACATATATATATATATATATCTATATATATATATATATATATATAATAATATTTTTTGAGGACTGTTTTGTCTTTCAACTGTCCGGCCTATTAGTAAATGTATACGTGCGTGATTAGTCACATAGTAGTCACCACCTCCCACATCTTCTTATTGATAAACTGTAACATTCCCGTCCCCACAGATTTCCATGTCATTAACAAGCAATCACTTAGTGTCTGCCTGTGGCCTGCAACCCACAGCTTGTTCCCTTCCTCCCATGGCCCCGGGACTAGAGTATTCATTGAGTGGGCCTACCTGAGGTCATTAGCATGGCCTCACTCAGCAAAAATGGCACATCTGCACTTGCTGATCGTCCTGGCCCTGTGGTTGGTGGAAGGGTGATAACTGTGAGCTAATTAAAAAGCCATTCTTTGGAGTGAAAGGCCAATTAAAGGCCTAATATTTGATAAGGCTCTCAGTTCACTCAGCAGCAGGTCCACCTGGGAAGTATTTATTAAATGTTAATGGAGACTGTAATTAATATCCAAGGTGGATTAACCTGCAACTGAGCCTCGCTCACGGTGAGTGGAGTGAGTCTGTGAGAGTAAGAACAACGGTGAATTGGAGAGTGATAAGAACCTGAGCATTTGGCTCTGGGTGGTTGCCATGAACACAGGAGGCCCCACATAAGGGTTAGCCGTCAGTCACGGTGCAGTTTTCCTGCTCTAAGATCCTTCACCACAGACCCTTCATAGCAACACAACACTTATGAATGTAATTTTACAACAAATGTAATTGAACGTCTCTACGTATATATACGTCTTGATTGTTGAATGCTCACCTCTTTCTGTACTGATACTGATATATAAGAGGTCTGGTTTAATTAGAAATAAGTTAACGATAACGATGCTGTATATACTACAAAGCTAAATGTAATTTGTCTTCATTTGATTCTCCTGTTAGGTCTAGAAACAGTTTTACAAATGAACATTGTCCTTTATCTGCAAACTGAAGAGACAGTACCAGACATAGTTGGAGATAAACCGTACTTCATTCAAATACCCGTCAGAGTGTGTGTTTTCCCACTGCCATTCGGTGTCTTATTGTCCTCACGGCTAGTTTATTTAAGTAGGTCAACAATGTTGACACTTTGGAGGACTTTTAACATCAGGGACACAGACAGGAGCAAGACTTGGTGTAAGATTTGTTTTTTATTAAATATATAAGTTTACTTTTTTAAAAAAAAATTATGATTAAACATTCTATATGAAAATATTCATCCAACCTTAAACTGCCCTTGTCCACGTCGCTGTGTCTTCAGCTGTTAAGGTGTCACAAGAGAGACACTTCTTTTGTGGTTGATGAACTGTCGTCCCCCAAAACAATTTTTTCTTTTTTACTGATACTTGAAACCGAGACATCTCTATTATAATATTCGATGATGTAAGAACACAGCCCATGTTTGTCCTCTGTTGTGTGTGTGTGTGTGTGTCAGTGCGTCCTGCTGGAGTGACTGTCCTTGTTTGTGTCCCTCAGAAGCTGCCCTCTATTTATAAGTTGTACTTTTTTTTTGAATGCGTCCTCCTGTGCTGCTCAAAGCTTAGGTGAGACAGTCACAGTGTTCTCCTAACAACAGAGGACAGACCAAGTTGAGCTGCAGACAACATTCCTCTCAAAGTGATTTCCCCCCAGAACAAGGCTCGTGCTCCTCTGTTCTTTTTACAAATAACTGTGCTTGTCACTGTTCCAGTGTACAGAGTTAGTGTTGTGTTTTTTTCTTTCTTTTCCTTCCCTTTTTTCCTCCCTCACTCTTGTGAACGGTTTGAGTTTTGCTTTTGACCTTGTCCACACCCTTTTCCACAAGCCATGGCGTATTAGGTAGTGTGTCTTCATTAGTGATGGCTGCTAAGACTAATGGACACAGTCACAGGTGACAGCCATGCCAATAGCACTAAATATGCTAAAGCCTAAGGATGTGTTGCGTTGGTGGCAGCATTAACGTTAAAGCTGTGGGTTGAGGTTAGAGTAACAGCCTAACGTTACTGAAACGGATAGAAACTGGTGTGGTTTAATGACGCTTGTCCACAGAGAAATGTCACATGGCCGTTGTCAGCCATTAGTCAGTCTTTATCAGTAATGGAGGGAGCTAAGCTAATGATGCTAGAACCTGCAATACACACACTGCAAGGCCGCAGGGCTCTGCAAAAGTGTTTGTGACCAATTCTCGCATTGTGATCATTTTCATTGTTTTTATACTCAATCATCAAGTCATCTGAACAATTAGCTTAGGTATATAAGGTGATGTAATGAAATATTTAGTCTGAAAAAAAAGGTAAAATCTGTAATGGAGTGAAAGGAGGCGTAAAGTGACATGGTATACAATATATATGTTTTGAAAGATAGAACATAATAAATTAGCATATATTAGCCCGAATGTACAGCAGTGCAGCCAGATTAGATTAGCAGATCTAGCAATGATGCCCCAAAGTATCGCAAAAATAATACTGTGCTTAATGCTTTACTATACTATTAATAAATAATACTGCTTACTGGGCCAGGCAAGTTTAACTGCTGCTGAACTTTAAATGTACACACTGTGAGCCAGCATACGACAGACTCAGCAGTAGCAGCAGCAGCAGCAGCAGCAATGCGCCACTACCTCACAAGTCCATGTGGCTAGACCTGATAGTAACCTCTCCATAACAGATGTGTGAGCGTATGTGAGGGAGCGTGTGCACGTGGGCGTGTGTGTGTGCGCGCGTGTGTAATTGTGGTCTTTATTGGTCAATAAAAAATTCAGGCTCTAGCTTGAGTGTGAATTTATTGTTTCTGTGGTCACTTAGTGCCTGAGTGTGTATGTGGGTGTGTATGGTATTAAGACCTCAATAATAACCAGTAAATCAGTCAGACATGGCAGACTGCGCTGAAACTCACTGTAGAACAGCAAGAGACCCAAGATGAATGGGTGAGGCGGGGCAGAGGTGGGGTCGGGGGCTGTTAAAACATATAAAGTAAAAAAAGGGGCGGGGGATTGAATGAGTGGAAATCAGCAGTAAAAACACTGCTGAACGATGTTAAGATCAATACTAATAACCACACAGTGAGAATGACTTCCTCACATCCCTAATAAGTTACACACTTGGGGGTGGGGGGATGTCCACACAGGGGCCCACACAGAGGTAAGACCATCCATTTATGGAGCACTTCTCCTCGAGCACATCTGACATTTGCATTCAGGTTGTCTGGCGTCCTTGTTCAGAGTGGTTAGTGTTTGTACAACACTATATGATGGTCCACCCATTAACTGTGACAACTGCCTGACATGTTTATAAGTCACACACCTGCAGCGCACACTAAGGCCCTGTGTACACGACGACAATACGACTACAGATCCCAGAGCTATAGCATTGTGTTTAGACGATGATGGAGTGTTGAACATGATGGTGTGGAGAACATGCTCTCAGTACACGGGTGGAGAGGTTTGAAAACTCTGGCCCTAATGTCTCTGTGTGAACGAAGCAGAACAAAACAATACGGTCAGCCCCGCCTCTCTGTAGCCTGTGCCCTCCTCAACCTTACGCAATAACAACAAGGTCGGTAACCATGCTCCTTCTGCCCATGCTGGAGAAGCTAATTGGAATCTTTGGTGTGCTACAGTTAGCCGTCTCCACCTTTAGTGTTTCTTTTTCATGTTTGTTTACAGTTTCCAAGCTTTTGTGCTGCTCATGCGCTGTGGCTTCTTTTACAGTTTTTCTGAACTTCCACTACAAATTCCTCTGGTGTTAGTGTGTCAGAGCATGGTTAACGCTGCACCACTTATTGTGGTTGTAAAAAGAAGTGTAAACTGGCAATAAAAAAAAGCCCAAAATATGCACAAATTTGTTCTTGTCAAAATATTCCTAACAGGTCACAAGCGGTTTGTTGTCTTTAAAAACTTTTGCAACACAATAAAAAGTTTGGAATACATTGATCTAGAGAGCTGCCACTAACTGGATATTTCCTCTTTTTTGGAACATTCTCTGTAAACCCTGGAGACAGTTGTGTGTGAAAATCCCAGGAGATCAGCAGTTTCTGAAATATTCAGACCAGCCCCTCAGGCACCGACAACCTTTTATGCTCATTCTGATGCTTGATGTGCTCGTCAGCAGGTTGTGTTGACCATAACAGCTACAGTGTGTGCCTAAATAAACTCTGTAGCTGTTGTTAATCGTTTACCAATTTTGTTTTTGATCACAGATTTTATCAGTGATTCAATATTTGCATTCTAAAGGCAGTGGAAAAGGTTGGCTGGTGCTGTGGAGAGTGATAGAAATGGAGAGTTTGCCATCTTTGTTGGTCTCCTGATCCCTTGTTTCTTTCTTTCTTTCTTTCTTTTTCCTCTAATAGGAATGCGGAGTGAACAGCCGGTCATGTTTGAAATGCCACTTTATCACTGTGGAAACGTGGTGCCACCCATCTCCTCCTCCGACAGCCCTCACACAGCTAACAGATCCTCAGTCATATTTAGAAGGTTAGTGTGCGCGCGCGTGTGTGTATGGAGTCTCTGCGTGTCATATAATATGTGGTGGATTAGATTGTTCTAAAAGCATCTCTCAATAAGAGGCTCCTGAATGTGTTTGCCCTAATGGCCTGCCATTTTATATTTCTTTGATGAAGTTACAGAAGGGGAGAAAATGGTCAACCCCGCAGTGCTCTTCCACTCACAGCCTCACACACCTCTCTCCATTTTCTGTCGAAGCTGGAGCACACACACATTAACCTCGGCTAATTCTGTCTGCTGGCTGAAGAGTTTCACGGCTTTCTCCTCACACCTGAGCTTATTATTATGATTATTTTTTTTTTAGGAAAAAGGCTGGTGGTCGGGGTGTGGGCGTTATGAACATACATTATCTTTGTCTATAACAATATAAACCTCAAGTCACCAACAGTCTTTTATCCCAGTAATGCAGTCACATCTTGCTCGTGAGATGTGAACCTATCTCACCTCGTCTTCGACAGCTTTGGTGAGATTTTAACACTTTGCTCCAAATCAAATATATTTCGCACCCACTGAGTTGAAACTTCCTGATGAGTGTGTGAGAGACGCATAACGGTGAAAGAGAGAACTTTCTTAATTAGATGACAAAGCAAAGCATATTGTACATTTTCATGCTGTTACTCATTTAACTGTCCAATCAGCAGCAAATGATACGATGCCATTAGAGTATGGACACATTTTAGAAATGAAAGTTTCAACAAAAAGTATCATGCACTTTAAAGAATATTCCTGTGACGTGGTTTTCTTATTTCATCGTTCACTTCAAATTAATTTATTAATCTAATGATGAATGATGGTATTGTTGGTGCGCTGCAGCCTGTCATCAAGTAAGAGATCAGATGTTCCTGAATGATTTCATTTTCTGAATCTGAGGCAACCTTATGTATAGCAGTGTTTAAACTTTTTGGTCACGACCCCACACCTGGAAATCAAACGGGTTGCCTGAAATTTCTTTGTAAGATTTTTTCTAACCAATTATTATCTTTTTAAATTAGGTTTAAAAAGTCCACACAAACTTAAACAACTGTATTATTTCACCTTACTAAATGTTAATCAAGTTCAAAACCCGAAATTTCTTTGATTTTTTCTAACCAATTATTATCTTTTTAAATTAGGTTTAAAAAGTCCACACAAACTTAAACAACTGTATTATTTCACCTTACTAAATGTTAATCAAGTTCAAATAAAATGCAGCATATGAAAATATCTGAGCTGGCACATCTTGAAATGCCAAAAATATATGATGTCACTGCCTTAAGGTCTTTAAGGTAAACACTTAAGAATGAGACCAAAATAAAGGAGGGGGTAATTCACACCACTCCTGAGGTGAATCAACGTTATTCTCCTAATTTCAATGACACACCTATAACAGTCATCGCTGCAACCCTACAAAAGATATGTGTTGATCAATAGTCTACCCTTACCTATAGATTTTTCCTGAGGCTATCTACTGATGCGCTGTATTTTATCAAACAACAGTGATACATATCACCATTGACCCGTCCTTATCAATTATTCAGCCCTAAGATCAAGTCCATATCATCATATTTTACATCCATCAATGGCCATAAATATCATTACGACCTTCTGCTGAATTCTTTCTGACGTAAAGTTTAGCCGCAGCGTGCTTGCATTTTGCTGAAATATCATATTTTGTTAAATTCCTGTAAAGTCACAGATAACTGTAATAGCAACTCAAAAGTGAAGGACAGCAACTCTGTGAAAGTAAAATGATGAATTTTTTGGCCTCACAGCATCAAGGTCAGTGGTTGGTTTCTAAGCCAATAGACAATAGCCCTTCTGTGCCTGTTTTCAGTGTCTGTACTAATAACATTCAGATGAGCGATAAGGCAATTTAATCCTCTGAATTTCTACCTTTTTTTTTTGGCTACAGCCAATTCTGTTTTTTTTTTTTTTTTAAATGGCTTAATAAAAACCCCGAACGAGAATTATACTCCCGGAATCACAATCAAGTGAATAATTTGTTATACAACATCAAATTGTGTCATGTGTTCTGTTCCTTCAACAACAAGATATACATTAAACTTGAAGACTGGACATCAGAAATAATCAGTCCAATAAAGCTGTCTGGATAAATATGACAAAACCTCCCATTTTTAAAACAGAATTGTACGATTTAAATTGCTACATCTCTATTATTGACACTGAAAGTTTGATTTTATACACCAGGCCAGGCTAATCCTGCTAACACCTCAGTTCAATTCTGCTTCTTTGGACATCGACAGTAGGTCTCTACTCTTGGAGTTGTATTAATGCCATCTTCTGGTTTGTTATTCTAGGCTGGCAAATATTACCACAAGAGATATCTGGCCATTTTGTAAAGAACCAAAAATTAGAAAAATACAAATGTAGGGTAGTGTCATTGCTAACAAACAATGTGCCTTGTACTTTCTGTGGCCTATGAAACTATATTTTCAAGTTATCAATATTTTCAAACTGTGTTTTTTTATACATTATATATAGGAAACAGTTTTCAGAGTAAAAAAATATCTTACTTAATGTACAAGTAGGTTTCAGACAGCTACCAGGAGTTTAAAGTAATTTACCTTTTTCAATTTACATTTTCAAAATCAATAAATATAATTTTGCTCGTAATTCCACTCAGTGTGTTTGATGTGACTGTTACCTTGGGGTTTCTGCAGCTGCACATTCACTGCTAATGGCAATCTGTGATTAGACCTATTTTTAATGTACATTTTCATAACCTTGACGTTATTTCGAACGACAGAATAGTTGTTTTGAAATTGAAATAAAAAAAATACATGTGTACTAAGGTAAAAAGGTTTTGCAGCCACACAGTGACATGGTGGTAAACATTGTTGCTTCTCAACAGCAACAAATCTGTGGTTCACACCACTGTGAGCTGATCTTTGTGTGCAGGAGGCTGTGATCTTTGTCTCCTCTCACAACACATTATGGAGGGAGCAGGTTGGTTGGTGTAAATGTCAGTGTAAATGATCATTTTTGGAATGGATTTATTATGTATTTGTTGGTCCTGTGAGGAAGTGACAAACAAGCCGTGGTCCACCGACTTTTTGATTTGGCTTTATCTCAATGTGTCCATTAATACATTTAAAACAACAACAAAAAAAAAGCTGAAAGAAAAGTTTGAAAGTAACTGCTCTACACAATTAGAAAGCCCTTCAATGAGCTTCTCTTTTTGTAGCTGTTTTAATTGTTATTGAAAACTCGTCCACCTTTTTTCCCCCGCTGTATGACAATGGCAATTTTCCACCTCGAAAAAGGTCTCGGCCTTATTCAAAACCATTAAAAAAATGTCGCAAGTCTCGTAGTTTTTGATGAATATTTCCGCTCAGTTTCACTTTTAATATCATCAGTCTCTTTTAGATTCTACAGATTTTTTTTAATAGGAAAAATAATGTAAACAGTCAATAGGTGGGGGAGTGTTTTTGTAATTGACCATAGCTTATACTCATTTGTATTTGGCCAGAGCAAATGGAAGATGTATAGCTGAATGATTTGGGTTGGTGTGTTTGTGTGTGCGTGCGTGCGTGCGTGCAGACTCTTTGTTTGGGTGTGAGTGGCTGTGGACACATGAGAACTAATGGTGACTTATTAACATCATAATTCAGGCAGGCAGGACAACTAATCACAGAGACCTCAGATAGACCAGCCACTGGGGGGTGATGGATGAAGCCTGTGTTTGTGTGTGTGTGTGTGTTTGTTTGGGTGTGCATTCGGCTGCGTGTGTGTGTGCGCGCGTGCCTTTTAGTGATAAATGGGTTGTGTGGTGGTCCTTTCACACCGAGATGTCTCCTAATCAGTCTTAATGATTAGTCTCCATTGATGAGGTGTGTTGATGAGAATGGGATTGTGGGTGTAGGGGCATGGCAACACCCCAAACATATCCTGTCCTCTTTAGAATTTGAAGAAGCAGGGATGGACAGACAGAAGAAACCCACCACTCTGTGTCTCCGTGTGTGTGTGTGTGTGTGTCACTGATAAGTATATCGGCTCGTAAACAACATGCGCTCCATATGTGCCGTGTCTGTTGCGTGGGTTTGGTTCAGGCTTTGCTGTAGCCCTTTGCCGCAGCAGACTCTATAGAAGAGAGTGTGGACATGTCTTATGTCCTCACCTCCTCCGTCTGGGTCTCTATCCGTCTTTCGACCTCCTCCCTGGGGGATGTCACTCATCCGTCTTAGGAGCCGTCTCACTGTTTACACTCATTTAGCTCCAACGGAGATAAACCCAGGACAGGCCTTAGAGTCTGAGGTATTCACAGTTACCGGGGAAAGAGAGGAAGAAGTGGAAAACAGAAAGAGAAATGCAGTGCAATTAACACAACGAGTGGTCATTTGGATCATGGCTGGATAACGAACTGAAGAGTGTTGCTCTTCTTTTTAAATGATGTGACACTGTATGACCATACACTTACTAGGATACTGTTGAACTTTGCAGAGTTGAGTAATAGAATTATACTAACTACAGAAGACTGCATGCAGTTCTTCAACTACGATGTGATGATCAATGCCTAAGGTGATCAAGTCATTTGTGTTTTAAAAGTCACAGTGAAAATGTCTTACGCTAGAGGTAGGCTCAAAAAAATTCTCAAAGCTTGAGTGGCGTGCAGGTTCAGAGTTGGTTGGATGTATGTACAAAAATACTCCTAAACTGTCAAGGATAATCTGGCACATTTGATGTCTGCTGCCATTTAGTCACATCAACAGAAACTACAGTCGATTTGTTGTAATCTATAAAACAAAAGGATTGACATCAGTCTTTTCCATACCTTGTGTTAGTTTTTTGCGGTCCTGATTAGAAAGGCCAGCGGGCTGTATCTGGCCCGCAGGTCATAGTTTGCCCAGAGTTGTATTAGACACTTAACAGAGTGTCATGTAGGGGTTATCCAAATAAATGGAAACAATCTTAAAATATTACAAAAAAATCTTGTTGCTTGTTAACTACTAGTCACTAACACAGTCCGTTCA